ATGACAAAAAATCGTTTTGTTAACAATGAAAACAAACGATAAAATTCAACTTAAGGTCTACTTTGTCAATAAAACAAATTAACGACTGATCAGTTGGTTTGTTTTTAAAAATTGCAAGTATAAACAACAAAGTAAGAATAATAAAAAAAAGAGAGACCCCATTAATAATAATAATGCTGAAAAAAAGGAAGCCTTGATTTAAATGTGGATGATAGAAGGAATCACCTGTTGTAATGAAAATTTGAACACGGAAAGAAATATCGATTCTATAGTCAAATCCAAAAAAAACATTAGAATGATAAAAAAAAAATCTGCTGACAGAACTTCATTTTTATTTCAAGTATCATTGGGAAGTCTACAATCTTGCAAGAAAACTAAATAAATAGAGTCTTTCTTCATTCGGACCGACATACTTTTTTGCAAGCTATGTGACATCATTGAAAGGATGGGTTGATGATAAAAATATTATTTAAAATTATTCGTGCTTAACGCCAGTAACGAATTATTTAACAATCAAAAATTAGGGAGACATATATGATTGTTGTAATTGCATCCAGACAAGAGAATATCTTAATAATGATTGATATCAATAATAGAAAATGAAAAGTAAAGACAGTGGTCTAAAAGTCGTATCGAAAGAAAGAGAGTGGAGTCTGCTGCCTTTTCTACTTACTTTACTACTGTTGTACACTTGAAACATTGTCTGTATCATCAATAAGCTCGCCAAAAGATCACACACGCGCAGCCAGTAAGTTTAGAAACCGACTTGAGTAACCTGGAAGAGGTGTCGTCAAAATTCACGACTTATAAATTGTATTCCAACTTGTAAAAATGGCCTTACCCGTCATTGACTTCTCTGAGCTGTTTAGCGTACAAATCAGGAGACAGCCATGTTGAATTTTTGTTGCTGAACCTCGTTTTGGGAATAGCACACACACATACACGCACAAAAAAAAATCAAAACAATTTTTGATCTTTTATTCCTGTACAACACAAATTATCATTTTAATTTAATCAAATAATTTTTTTTTCCATACAATAGACACAAAATTTGTTTTATCAACAAATTATTTTTTCCGGAAGTAAGCCCGTATTCATAATGGTCAAGGTCGTTTCCATCAGTTTCATACAGAATGGCGGCCATGGACGAGGAAGACTTGGAGTCTGCGATTTTAAAACGGCAGATCTCCGACTCTGGACCTAAGTCTCCGACAATTTTGCCATGGGACCGATTCTCTAATTGGCTTCATTGTGCCTGTGTTGTAACTTTTGATCTGGAGCTTGGACAAGCCATGGAGGTATATATGTATATATATAAATATTCTATATCTGTTGATGTTATCGTCTGTCTGGTTAAGTGGTGTAAACTCTTCCTTTCTTTGTTATCCGGTGTTAAATGAATGGGAAAGTGCCGGTTAATTAATTAATTAGCAATTATTAAGACACTATATTCATAGTTAAGTCTTTTGAGATATCTAAAGGATTCAATCCTCATCGAAAATCTTGTATATACTTCGTTTTTACGCGCATTGAACGTTTTGATTGGTATGGTAAAAAAAGTGAATTCTTTTTTAAAGTGGGATTCCTTTCTTTCTAAAAATCCGATGACACACCCCACTTGCGGTGATTATATTGTAAAATAATTGTAATAAGTAAAATATGAAGTTTAACCTGTTTCTAGATTTAAAAAGTTACAGGTTTTATTTTATTTTAGTTAGTAATTAATTGGAAAATTTTAAACTTTGTGTACAAAGATCGCGGCATGAGTTGTAATCAGTGCTGTGTGCGTGGTGGTTGTTGCTGGTAACTAGTTGTTAAATTCTTCCCTCTTTTTTTACAAAAAAATCTTAACAATTCGAAATAATACGATGAGATGTGAAACTAATAAAGTTATTTTTACCAATAATTATCAGTAAATTCAAAGAAAGAAGGCACTTAATCACCGAATATTCAGATAACAAAAAACTAATAGCGTGTAACTAAAAAAGTCTTCTCTATTTTTCAGTAAAAAATTCCTTAATTTATTTACTTACTATTCGATCTGTTGGCAATTTGTAAATTAAATCGATCTCTTAAGTCATATTACTGTCCTTTTAATTCCATGAGTTATTTTTATTTTCAAGTTTTCTGGCGATAACTTTTTAATAAACTTTTTTCTTTTAATAAACAATGTTTTAAATGACCAATCCTTATCGATAATGCTACAAATGAATTTGAAATGTCATGCTTTATTTTTTCTCTTATTTTATGAAGTCTTTTTTTTTTTTTTTTTTTTTTTAATTTAAAAAAAAATGAATGAATCTGATATTTCTTTTTGTTTTTCACAAATAACTTTGTCAACATTGCCTGTACCGCAGTTATAGTTGCCTTGTTAGTTGCAAATAAATTTGTTGACGTATTTATTTTTTATTACTTATTACAACCAAATTTGTTCAGCATTTTTTTTTATATATTTTCTTTCATTCTTTACTGTTCATCAATAAACGTTGTGTAAATGCTGTCGTAAATACTTGACAGTTTTAAAATGGTTGAAATAACAGTCGTTATTTTCAAAAATAAGATTCTTGATTTTTATTCAAACTGTCGAATAAAAACAATTCATAAAAATCGGTAAAAAAACTTGAAAAAAAAGTTACTTAACAAATATAGTCATTGTTAGTTAGGGTGTATTTTTAAAGCCCCCGCCCCCTTGCAGTGAGACTTTTTAAATTACTGTTTTTTTAATTAACGTAAGTAATGATTTGGTGTTTAGTTTACTGGGTTTTTTTTGTTTTTTTTTTAACTGCTTATTTTCATATTTTTCGCTACACATAAAAAAAGAAAAGAACCCGATATTCTTTTATTTATTTATTTTTTTTTTTTTTTCAGTTTACCTACATTTTTATTCTTTTATTTTATATTTTTATTTTGTTTTCCTTGGAATTAAAATGATCTTGCTTTTTGGGTGTGGTGGGGAAATTCATAACACTATGAACAGAATCTTATTAACCTGGGCGTTTGAATAGTGGTTGGTTGCTTACCACTACCAGGTATAAAGAATGACTGCAAAGACGAAGAGGTTACTAGTAGTAAAAACAGTAGTACAACTGGTTAGGCCCGTGTTTTGCGGTTGTGTGTTTATGCCTTCCTAAGTGCTGTAAAGATGACGGAATACTGAATTTTAACCTAGTTAAATGGAATGTCGGTCAGAAACGTTTAAGTTTAACTTTCACATCAAAACAGCTGATACTTTTCTTCAACTACTCTAGGTTATCTGTGGTGTGGAAAGCAGTTTCTAGCAGTAATCTGCATAACGAAAAAGAGTAAAGACTAAAAAATTATATTTCATTGGATTTCTTTTTCTATATTGAGCTGACTGCATTTTGAGAGGTAAATTTGATAGAACGGTCTATATTCAATTGTTGATCGTTTGTAGTACTTGAAATAATGGAGAGAATCTTAGAACTTTTTAGCTCGAACAAACAAAAAACAATATCCGTATTGTCTTCCCCTTCATCGCTACATACAGGCATAGTCATTGTACCTGGTAATTTTGATCTCTTTGATCATGGAATAGTTAAGAGTACTTTTGTTTGAGTGAGCAAAAAAAGTTTTTCAGGTGTGTAGTCTGTAAAAAGTAAATAAAATTGCATTATTAGATATTATTACGCTGGCTAGAACTAAGATAATGCTAGAGACAGAACTAGCAATTACGTAAAATTACATAACCAAACGACAAATCTCTTAGTTTTATTCTTTCTTTCTCCTTGTTCAAAGTCTTCTCCTTCTCTTTCACTACCAGTAACCACTTGCGTCTTAGTGATCCCCTTGCTTGGGGTGAAATGAAAATTTCTGTGCTTAAATACAATCATTCTTGTCGAGAGCCCTGAAGTGATTGAAAAATTATGGGCTTTCGATAAATATTTAAATTAACATTACAATCAGAAATAATAAGTTTGACTTTACTCGAAGAACAAACTCCAAGCATCCTCCTCATCATTTACAATACTAAACTTGACTTGGTGAACACACAGTGACATCTAGCCGGAGTTATAAGTATACATTTTGTTTTGATTGATATCATGTTGAATGGAAGCATCTGTAAATTAAATCAGGTCTAATTTGTATTTAAGTTAGAAAAGAATTTTGTGTCAAAGCGTTGACCCAAACATAGATTTGCAGTTAACTTGTTTAGTAGATACATTAATTAGTGTTTGTTTTTTGTTTTGTTTTTATTACATAAAAGCTCTAAAGTCTTGAAATCAATGTTCACTGTGTCAACCAAAACTCCAACTGACAGTACACATTACCCTGTTTGTGGATGAAATTATCATCTATCAATATTCAATAATAGTTGTTCTATTCTTTTGAAAAAATACATTCCCACGCTTAAATTTTTTTCTGTGTATTGGGGGGTGGGTGGAGAGAATTTGCTTGTTTATCAGAATAAGAAAAGAAATGTATATTAGATTATATAATCTAGCTGTGACCTGGAGCCAAATGGAATTTGCTTGTAGATGAGTGAATGGAGTTTTAAAAAAGTAGTTGATGTTAAACTTTAAATGAGATTTGATTTGTGTTAAAGAAAGCAAATGTTTCTTATCTGTACTGTTTGTTGCAACTTAAAGGAGTAATCTTCATATTTTTTTTTATACATTGGACAAATTAACTTCTGTATTCAAACTTATCAAGAAAAGGCCTTAGCAGTTGATTTTCTTATCAGTTTTCTTTTGTAGCTTTTTTAAGGTCAAAGATTATCTGTTCTACAATAGCAGAATTTTGTAATCCTTTTCAAAACAAATGTTTTTATAAAATGATTTTATCCCAAGCTTTTTTATTATAATTATTATTATTAAAGATAATGATTTAGTGATACAAGTCTTACTAATCAACCCATATCTGATAAAAGGGGTGGATTAATACATTTCCCAAAGGAAAGTGAATATAATGAACCCAATTGCAACTGGGCTTGGTGATTAACAATTCCAATCTATTATCTACAACACCCGCACGTCCAAACTCACAGCATTTGGTGTTCCCAGGCAATCACCCATCTAGGTACTGACCATGCTCAGTGTTGCTTAACTTTAGTGATCATACAAGAACCGATGTTTCAATGTGATATGGCTATATAAACCCTGAAATTGTTAATTTCTACATTAAATATTAGGTTGATACTATAATTTTTTTTTTTTTTTTTTTTTTTTTTAAATACTAGAACTTGTTTTTGTTTACAAAAAATGTCAGTGTTAACATACTGAAAGTGTCTGTTTCTTTAAAAAAAAAAAAAAATTCCATCAAAGGCATGAAGGGAACAATATAGAAAAATTTTCATACATGCATGCTTAGTAAATATTATACATATTATCTGCAAAATAAATTCTAATCTACATCTAACAAATTTAGGACCTGGTCACTCATAGACCAAACAAGATGCAGGAAAAAACGAACCCATATGTAGTAGATTTTTTTTTTTCCCTTCCTAATTATGTGTAAAATAGAATTTTATATATATATATATATATATATATATATATATATATATATATATATATAATATGGATGTTCAACTTCAATGCAACAGTCAGACATAATAAAACAAAAACTGGCAAACTAGAAAATGCAAAAGTGGGTACCTTTATGAGGTGACTGCTCAGCAGCTCCTACAGTTTGACAAATGCTGCAATTTTACATTTAAAAAAAAAACCTTTTCTTGATTATGTAGTTATTGTTAAAGTGATGATAATTAGATATGTGGCTTTTGCTTAACAAACTTACTCCCACCTGCCTGAAACATGAGGGTTGATATGCTGGTAAAACAAAAAAACCTGACTATTTGGTGGAGGCTGTAATATAGTAGTCTATTAAGGGTTCTTGCGATTTGGTCAGAGGCCATCACAGCATTATCCTGTCATTATTCAGAACTGAGGCATCAAAAGGTGCAAACATTTTGGCTAACAACAGTGAATAGAATTTGGCCTGTCCAGCTACACAATAATGTGACACCTTGTACTTCAAAAAATGCCCCACTGAAATGATTCAATCAGGCATTGCAGTCCTCCCCTATTCTCCAGAACTGCCCACCCCTGTTGAATTCCGCTTTTTATGGGCCTCAGATATGTAGGTAGGTTAGCAAGTGTACACCAATGCGGGTTAGGTAAAAAAAAAAAAAAAAAATGCCTTCCCACAGTTTGTTGGCTTATTTTGATGCCAGTTTTTAATGTGATGAAATAAACTCACTGCCAATTCAATCGCAAAATTGTTGATTCTAAAGGTGCTTCTATAGCTGATTGTTGCTCTTTGTGCTGAGTTGTATGACATTCTAAACTTTGGTTCAAGATTACCATTTATTTTGTTCCAACCTAATAGTTTGTTTTTTTTTCTGATTGAATGTTCAGTTGTATTCAGTGGTAGCACATCTCAAGTTAGTAGTCTTTGTTTATATTTCCTAAACTTTAGTATAAAAAATTATTTGTCCATGTGTGCCAACCAAGACTCATCCACTGAAAGAGGGACGTGAAAAAGAAATTGAAGATTTTGTTTGATAATGTTCATATTAGAAGCTGACTTCCATATAGAGAAAATCAAATTTATACAATTGAGATGAACAAACAAAACTCTTTATATAACAATGATTTATTTAAAACAATTTTATTTTTGTTTTATTGTACACTATTATTACCTTTTTTGTCTTAACTAGTATTTCTTCATTTTAATTACTTTGCATTTTAATTATTCAAACTGTCATTCTACAGTTATTAGTAAAGACAGCAATCAACAGGAAGATGGTCAGATTTGACCTTCTGTAAATCATAAAACATTTGTATCTCTGAGCTACAATGTAAAGCATCCATTAAGGAAAAAACATGTTTCTTGAGGTAAAATGAATGCATTTTGTATCTTACTCACATTGCAAAATTGTGTAGCTTATGCACTGAGTGATCAGCAGCTCACATAGATTGACTTGCTCCTACCCACTTGAAACTTTCCAAATCCTCTTGACAGTTTGGGTGCTGTAATATAGTAATCTATTAACGTTTCTTGCTATTTAGTCGGGTTCTCCTAGCATTGTCCGCTTGTCATTATTTGGAACTGATGCATCAAAAGTTGAAACCATTTTGACTGACATGGGTGAACAGAAAGTGGATTATCCTGATGCTGGATAATGTGATACCTTAAGCTTCAAAATCTCATAAAAATTAATTCAATGAGGCATTGAGGTTCTTCCTTACCCTGCCTATCTACCAGATCTATTGACCCTTTTGTAAAGAGGAAATTGACTTGATGCAGTTTAAACAAAACTATATCACAAAAATATATGTAAAACGGTTTTTTAAGCTATGCTAATTAAGCTTAGGAGTTTGTGTATTTTTTTTTTTTTTTTTTTTTATTAGATGAAGTATTCTAAACCATTATGATCTTTTTTAACTAGTATTTTTCTTTATAATTCTAGTTGCTTTTCATTTGAACTATTCAAATTGTCATTCTACATTTATTGGTAAAGATGGCAGATTTGATGGAGCAATTGGGAGGAAGATGGTCAGATTTGATCTTCTGTAAGCCATAAAACATTTGTTGCTCAAACAGTAAAGCAGCTATCAAGGAAAAAAATGGTTTCCTGAGGCAAAAAGAAATGAATTTGTATTTCACTCACATTGCAAAAGTGTGTAGACTGAGTTGAGTGATTAGCAGCTCACACAGTTTGTTTTGTTCTCGCTTGCCTTGAAGCTTCCCAAATCAGTTTGGTCAGGTCATCAAGGATTGTCATCATTTGGAATTGATGCATCAAAAGATGCAAACAATTGGGTCAACAGTAATGAATAGAAAGTGGCCTAGCCTGCTACAGAACAATTTGATACTGTAGGCTTCAAAAAGCACCCAACAAAAATAATTCTATTAGGTATTAAGGTTCATCCTATTTCAATATAAGCCATTAAGACGTAAGGGATTACTGAGTGTTAGAGAACATAAGGAAAAATGCACTATTAAGCAGAGAGAACACTAAAAGAACAGGAATTAAGACAGAATCTAGTACTGTGCTTAAATTCATGAGGTTTAAGTACCATAGAGGAAAGTTCATCAGAACAATTACCATGAAGATATTTATAGAAAAAGCACAGGAAAGCTACATTATGGTGGAGCATGTAATATAGTGTTCATCCAAATTCAAGCATCCTCATCCACCCAAGTCCAACAATATTTATATTCTCTCCTTCTCACCAGTTTTCTACTGGTGACCACTTTTATTTTGTCCCACCTTCCCCATGGGCCTCTCTACTCTACATGTCCCTCCCATCATCCTATGGCCACAGGGTGTATGAATTGTGTTCACTTGTCGGAACAGTTCAGAGTAACTGTGTGCCAATCCCCACATTTGTGGGGATAATGATCTAGGTAACTATGACACCCTTGTGTTGCATCACAGATCATGACTTGCTGATGGTTGCACGATTGGAGGCTGGTTTTCATCCACCTTCCATTTTTGTATGGTCCTCCACCCACTTGTCGCCATCTGTCTCCTCTACTTCCATACTTTCCGGTGTGTTGTATGGAGGTTCCACATCGGTAAGGGGCAGTTGTAGTGTTGGGTAGTCTGGTATGTCCATGACCGGTACTAATTTTTGAAGGAATCTACAATTGCACAGGTTAATTCAGTTGCTGCCATCCTACACACACAGAAATTGTCTGTTGCCCATTGTTTCTACTACCCTCCTTGTCTTCATCCACTGCCATGAATATGGTCTATCTTGGTTTTGCACTTGCACTGATTCGCCAACTTGGAGCTCTCTGAGTAGGCGACCGTGCATGTTATACTGCTTCTGGTTTAGTAGGTATCTTTTTACCACTGCCATTTCACTCAATTCCTTGATCTCCCTCCAACGCCTGTGTATTTGGTACTTTTTGTAAAGTATAGGAAGGTGATCTCTTATTGTGCGACCATATAGCATATCAGCTGGTGACATACCAATGTTCTGGGTGTGTTCTAATGGGTCAGCATGACCCATGCCATACAATCATGGCACAGATAACCATATCTGTCAGCTCGATCCATTAACGTTCATTTGGCTCATCCACTCTGGGGGTAATGTGCTGAGGATGTTAGTTTCCTTATGCCCCAGTCCTTAAGGAATGAATTGTATTCCTGGGAGTCAAATGGTGGTCTGCTATCTGAAGACATCTCTTCTGGTGCACAAGTGATATCTTCTTTGGATTTTATCAAGAATCTATAAATATATGGCAGGTACACCAGACCAGATGCAGCACCAATATTCAAAGGAAGGACAAATGGTAGTTATAAATATGTAAGATAGATTCTGGCAAGAAAAATTGTCTATCATGACACAGTAAACCAACTTTCCTAGCTGCAGACTTCACAATTGATTCCATATACACTTTCCACTTAATGTTGTTAATATCACAATGTTTTGGCCATTGTGCTCTTCATCAGGTGTATATCAGTCCAGGTAAACTATAGGGAATTCCAAACTGAGCCATTTATTTAATCTATGGAGATAGACTATTCTAGTTCCACTTCCCATGCGTAGAGATTTTGTCTAGTTCTTATTTTTAGAACTGCTCAGTTAATACTTGTCCTGTTTCCATTGAGTCCAAGTACACACTGCCCAGCTCAAGGATTGAACTCTCAATTACTATGTCATCAAACTCATAAAACAACCTACTAGGCCATTGTCCCATAAAATAAGAAAGGTTTACCCCCTATAGATTAAATAAAGGGTTCCGTTAGAAATTCCCTGTAGGTTCTTTTTTTTTTTTTCTTTTTTTTTTACATACAACTTGTGTTAGCACGTGCGATACCCTGTCTTCATCAGCCGCCGACCGGGGGTGATATCGCGGTTTCGGTGGTTATGGCGGGACTGCCACCCCTGGCGCCACCAGCAGCATTTGCCACCAGGCAGGGTATAAAGATAAACTAATTGATCATTCCTTTAAGTAAATTCTCATAAAATAAGAAAGGTTTACCCCCTATAGATTAAATAAAGGGTTACATTAGAAATTCCCTGTAGGTTATCCAGATCAATATACACCTGATAAAGGCCAGAGGGTACACCTCCTGAAACCTGATAACAGCAATAAGCATGATGACAATAGTTAGCATGTAAATAGTGTA